ACATCGGAAAATGGCATAAAGTGTGAATGGTTTATTTGAAATATCCACCTGCATCGAAAGTTTTCTCATGTCTTTTCTCTCTCACACTCTCGGATCATTCTCATCTCTAGGCACTCACTTGAGAAAGCCACCTTGGCTACCTATGAAAATTCACAGTTGGCAATGCTTCCCTTCAGTTGTATTTTATTGAGAGACTCCTCCGCACACGTTTCCTTTCATTCCAAGGCAAATAAGATTGGGGTTTTTTGCATTTTTCCCCTTTCACACAAACCAGCGACACACGAGATATGTTCAAAGTTGAGGTTTCCACAAAGTTTCGACTTCTCAATAAAGCACATGCACAAGTTTTAAACGTGCAAGCACATCTTTACGTCTCTTGTACACTTTTAAATACTTTTGCATCTTCCCTCAACCACAGTGAATTTTGCTGTTTTATACAGTTTTCTTCGCATGTTCTTGCTGGGCTACAAAACATTTTGCAAATAAGGCGGGAGGAAAGGGTGAAAATTCACTCATTTGTAAAGTTTTTGGAGTGAAAATTTTGCACAGCATCACGGTATAAGACGATGGAATGATTTGGAGGAAATTTCCATTAAAAAGAAACAACACACTCAGAGAAAGCGATAGACAAGCAATTTCTATAAAGCTTTCTGCAGAATTGTTTGCACCAGGGAGTGAGAGGCTTTTCCTGAGTGCATAAATACGGTGTTTGTGCCTGCACTCAACATCGTTTCTTGCACTCCGTTGCTAGAAGAATGCGAGGATCAGTCAAGTGAAAAGGAAACTTTTCGTTGGCATCCAAAGCACACACACTCACTCTGTAATAAGACTAACAATATTGTACTTTTTGCACAGAGAAAAATTCTCAAGCAAACGAGAGGTGGAGTAAATTTATAAACAATTACATATTATTGTGAAGTAAGAAAAGTGCAGCGAAGGAAAACTTATGCCTCAACTTCCGGGCTCAGCTTTTATGGTGCAGAAGAGTGAAAAAAAAGCTCAACTATTCCGCCGAAGGGGAGAAACAATGTGATTACACTGGGAGTGAGTTAGGGAGAGAGATTCGTGAATGAGAAGAAGCATAGGGTAGGAATTTTCCTGGAGAGCGAACATATCGTTGAAAAATCATGTCATAAACCCTATAATGTAATTGAATTGGGGGCAAATCGAGCGAGATGATTTATTGAATTGCATATGAAAATCCTTATAATAAATCTTACTTGGAAAATCACAGTCTTCAACCTCTTATTCCTATTATTGCAAAATACCACTGTATTATGTGAATTTTGTGGAAAGCAGGAAATTTTGTGGCAAATGCTATGTATATTTCAACTCATTTTCTTTGTTTATTTATGAGTTGCATACTTAGATGTTTCAGCAGCACGGTATTTTGATTTCCACCATTCTATTGAAAGTTTTTGGATGCACCAAATTTGTAGTTCTGCTGAAGCTCAATTTCTAATTGCTAAACAATGACTCCGCCTCCGGGATGTTTACATTCATAGGAGTATCTCATCTATTGTAAACTAGTGAAGAGGCATCCCAACCAAAATATTCATCTGAGAATTTCGGCGAAAACTTTCGTCTTCCATTCTTCCTACTAATTTATCTAAACTTCTGTGCCACTCTGATTTCATTAGAGGGTTGGAATTTCACATGTTTTGGAAAGAAATATTGCAAATTCGTGGTGAAAATATATGTTAGATATTAATTATTCGTGAAAAGCACGGTGTTTTGATACCGTGACGTGAATATTGTTTATGTCTGTGTAAATTTCTCTATTCTAAAATAAAAGTCGCGGTTTCGGAGCGAAAATTAAATAAATTCACTCGCTGTGAATTGAAAATACACAACAAACATTGTGCGATAATTGCACTTGGATGTGCAGCATTTATTACAAACAGACTGATTAAGGGAGAGCATGAGAGAGGGAGAGAGAGAGAGAGAGAGTGGGAAAGTAAATAATTATTGCTGTTTTTGAAACAAGGGTGGTTGCGCCCATGAAGAATGGTGCAAAAAAGGTATGCGAGAGTCTTTCGCGGTGAACCACAATTTTGAATTAAAATCGTCATTAAGGAGTGTCTTCCACGGGAGCACAAAATGTGGGGTGTGCTTTTTATCTCTGAGAGTCACAAAGTGAAGTGAAAACTTTGCTTCCACTCTTGTTCTTTACTCCAAAGTGAAAATGATATAATATTAAATGAGGCCGGCGGAGAACTGCCGGAACAGAGGGACTCTGGAGCTGTGATGCCGAGGACAAATGGGTGGGAAATTTATATAGGACAAATGAGATAGTTGAATGGTTGAGCCTGTTGCGACGTTCCCGTCATTTACCATCTGTGTGGGTGGCCAAATCGCGCTGTCTTTCATGCTCAGACAATGCGAGAGGCGGAGGATAAGAAAATTCCTATGCTACGGAGCCATAATCTCTCAGCATGAGTCAATGCTCCCGATGGCAAATCCCAGCATCCATCCAAATGCATTGCGGGTAGTCGTTTGGCGCGAAGATCGCTGGAGTGAAAAGAAAAGGGGTTTGAATGATATTCGCGCTTCAGTTGCGCCACTGCGATAAAATTGACTCTTAACTCAATCACTTGTTCAATTTCCCTGCTATGATGGCAAGACGCACACCCACAGGGCAAAAGTTGAACGAGTTAATTAATGGAAGAGCATTTCGTTGAAATCCTCAGTATAATAACGATGTTTTACTTCCTCTAACATCATTAAACCATGTTCCTTCATCCACTTCCTCTCCTAACAGCGCCCGAAAGATGGATGTGCACTCAGAGCAAATTCGTCTTCCCGGAATCACTCTGTGTAATTCGTTCAATTGAAGGGCTTTTCAAGACATTTTCAGAAGAATTCCAATTTTCCTGGAAAAATTGTTGCCCTATTCGAAAGTGATTGGCCAACATGTCTGATTGAAAGTGCAGTAGACAAGTATTACTTTAAATTTTTACGGATTTCTTATAGCAAATTTACAAATGTCAATATTTTATCAAATGCCGCATTTTCTACTAATATTTTCTGGGTGTATTTCTGTGAATTTTGAAACGATCGTCTAAGGACTTGCCTCCCTTTCCGAAGCTCCCTTTTAAAATTCATTTTCATCTCACTGGAGTGAGGACCAAATTCCCTCAATATTTAGTCAGTTCATCAAAATTATTTAAAATCCACTTGAGTTGAACGAATAAATAATATCTTGAGTTTTTAGCATTTCCTTCATACTCACAGATATTCACGATCTCACCCCCACGGAGTTGCTTGCCACCCGTGGCATGGGGAATTGTTGGGGATTTACTGCCTATATTGTGTACAAATTTCCCATTGAAATTGAAATGAGCGATGTTGGGAGCTCAAAAAGAAATTGATGACATTAAATGCATATGATAGAGTGTGAAGTGTATCAAGGCTGTACAGACTCAATATTCGTGGCATAGGAAGCGCTTTCTCTCACGCGGAGGTTGTGAAAACTGGGTGGCTTCCATGAAGGAATTTTGATGTTTGCGCGCGTGTGTGAAAAATTAAAATTCCTCCTGAGTGAGTGGGAGGAAATGGTGAATAATTCATAAGAATAATTACCATTTTCTTTATAATCAACATTCGTCTTGTTTTTCATCTCTTTGTAACTCATGAAAGTTCTCCCACCGCGACCGTCCATTTCGCGGGATATTTTCACGTGGACCCCAAAAAAGAGGGGAGGATTTGGCTGTGTATATAGCGAAGGCACACCGAGTAAAGCGGAAGCTTTCACCTCCTCGAGAGTTAGGAAAAGCGAGAAAGAGAGAGAGAGAGAGTGAGTCTTTAGTGCATTTTTAAACTCATGCACACGGCAAATTACAGCATGCAAATGTACTTAAATGACATCCATATAGAATGGGTTGAATATGTGGCACATATCCAGAAAATTCCACTCGACACTTACCTCATAAACTTTTCCCTCAGCAGAGGAGGAATTTTCTGTAGAATAATAAATTTCGGGTGGTGAATTTTCCCGTATTTTCCACGGAAATACTGTAAAATTCAGAAGGAATTTATGTCATAGACACAGCATATTCGTACTTAAGCATATAGTGGTGGGAAAAATTTTTGGAATTCCGTCAATGTGATGGGGAAAAGGTTATTCTTGAGCGAGATATGACGTCAGATTTACAATGGCGAAAGCTCACGCACAGCAATTAAAAATTTACGTGCAATTTTCCATTGGCAGGGATGAAAGCGGAGAAGCGAGAGGGATTCCTAATTGACCTGGAAAAGAACTTCAAAATAATTCATCATAGATGATTACTCAAACTTTTTCGAGTTGTCCAACTCTTTTGGCGAAATGTTGGGTAGAGAGTTAAGTGACAAGAAATTGAGTTTTAAACTGTAAATTATCCCGTAGAGCTTTTCACAGTCGCATATCCGATGGATTCACGGGCGTTGACGACGTCGTACTCTTGAAGGAATCTTTCATAGGAAGGCACTTAATGAAATTACAGAGAAATTAGCGTGGCTCCCTTTTTTCTTTTCTGCATAATTCATAATTAATGTAAAACATCGTTTGCACGCCGGCATTTTCTGCTCTTTTTCCTACGTCGCGCCTTTGTTGTTCCTCTTCCACTGACATGGGCACTCTGTATGGCAGAAAAGAGAGCATAAGGAATGCAAATTGAGTTCTGACAGCCAGGAAAATTGTTACTTGCTTCCTTCACTCTTCATTTCTGGTCTTTGCTTTGCCACTGTCCAACTGTCAAGTGAATTCACAATTAATTTGTGGCCATTTTTCTTATTCACAGTGATTGCATATTTTCGAGAAGATGGAAATTCTAGAGTGCTTTTAGATAAGTAGAAATTTATCACCGCTGTGGACAGTCTCTGTCACTGGACAGATATTCAACGAATTATGAAATATCGATAAGCGTGACCAGCTTGAGTGTTCCGAACACAACTGAAAAATTTATTTAGTTGTGTCAATAGTTTTGTTTTGCAATATTTAAAACAGCTTTCGTTCTCTGTATTTAAAGTTTGTTTGGATATCTTACAAAAATTCCCTAAAGTATGTGATAAGAGCCATTTTATTTTCCATAAAGCAACTTCTTCTCCCAGCTAAAATCACATTTTATCCGAGGTGAATCCATTTGCAGTCGCTTCTCTTGTCCTCTTGAGCCATTCACCCATCATCTTCCGTGTCCATGAGTTGGAAATCCTCGTGAAAAAGAGCTCTGGAGAGAAATGTGCATGTAATACTTAAAAACTATGACTCATTCAGAATCCTTGAGATACTCTTCCCAAGCACAGCGTTAGTATTTTTGTTTCCATCACAGCGAAAACAGTTAGAGCGAGAGAGAGGTAGTCCTTATGCGTTTCTCCAGACATTTGAGGGGTTGGTGAAAATTTGTCCGAGCGTAGAAAATGAAAAGCTTGTGCACTTGAAGGATAAACTTTTATTTGCTGAAGATGGAACACTGGGTGTTTTGGGTGGGAAGATGAGCAAGAGGGCTGAAAGAGCAAAAGAACATAAATTTCTCTCTCCTTTACAACTTTCTAGACTTTCTTATTTCTTAGTGTGTTTTTCTCACTCTCTATGCCACTTCTTAATGCGATTATTCAACTGTAATTCAATTCAATGTAAATGACTTCATTTAATCATTGTTATTGGCCTTTCTCATTTCCTCTTCCTGCGTGGGGAGCAAATGACCACTCTGCGGGGCAAAAGTTTGTCTTGTCTGCTACACCATGGCTGTTAGAGTTCCGGCGCCCATGCCGAAGCCGAAGCCCTTGATGCCGTAGTTGCGGTTGTAGCAGCCACGGCAGTAGATCTCCAGGTTGGGCCCATCATTCAGATTCATGGAGTCCAAGTGCTTGCCGCAATCTATGCAAGAGAAGCATCTCTTGTGCCATACGCGGTTTTTGCTGATCATCAGCTCGGCTGCATACACGGGGTAACCACATCTCGGGCATCCGTTACCATTCTCCACCTTCTTAGGCCCTGTCTTGGGCACAGCGTCCGGTCTGCAAGAGTCCAAATGGATAGAGAATCAGCAAGGATTAGGTTAGGGCTTCTCAATACTTACGCAATGACTGGCGCCTCTCCTGTTGTTGAAACCAAGGTTGGTGTGTGTCCGTAACCAAAACCTTTTGGTCCAAACAACTTTCCGTAGCACGCTCGGCAGTGAATCTCCTTGTCGGGTCCATCGCAGGACAGCATTGAGTCCAGTGGCCGATGACATTCAAAGCAGTTGTAGCACTTCTTGTGCCACATTGTGCCTCTGGCCAGCTGCTGCTCAGCCGCAAATACCATCCCACCGCATCTGGGACAACCCTCTCCCTGCGGTGCCTTGATGATCGTCGTGTCGATGTTGGCGAAGGGTCTGCTAGACGCGAGGTCCTCCTCTGAGATGTCTGTCTGCAGGAAACCGTAGCCGTTGGCGAATCCGTACCCGTGCGGTCCCCACCGCTTGCCATAGCAAGTCTTGCAGTACACATCGCGATCCGGTCCATCGCAAGCGATTATGGAATCCAGGGTCTTAGTGCAGTCGTTGCACTTATAGCACTTCCGGTGCCAACCGCGGCCCTTTGAAATCACAAGTTCTGCCGCGAAGACGACTCCGCCACATCGCGGACAACCGGATCCGTCCTTCGCTTGGATCTTCGATGGGTCCACTTCAGCGGTTTTAGGCGCGAGTTCACTAAGGAATGCATTTTAAGAGATAATTGCATAATAAAATAGAATTGGGCTGTGTGCAAAGAATGATTAATCAGATGAAAACTCAGTCCTTGCAAAAGCTTCAAGAACCTACTTAACACTGGGAAAATATGTTAGATTAAGCTACAGGAGACAGAAAATGCATTTTCAGGGCCTAGATATACCTCTGCCAATCTTTATCTTTAATATCAGACATGAGTCCCAGCGAGGACACGCCAATGTGCCCATATCCACGTGCACCAAACTTCTGTGCATAGCAACCTGCAGAAGCAAAAGCTCTACGTGAAAGCGTCAGTGAAAAGCGCGACTCTCCAGGCGAGAGTGTGTGCTTCGGGGGCCACAATACCTCGACAGTAAATCTCCTTATCGGGTCCATCGCAGTGAGTTGTTGAATCCAGAGTTCTGTTGCAATTCAGGCACTTGAAGCATCGCCTGTGGTAGCCCTGTTGGATGGGTTGCACCATTCATTGAGGAGAAGTGTTTCGGGTGGAGGCAAAACAGAGAAAATCAGAGAGTAAATTGTTGGGTATTTTTTCGTCTTGAGGGTTTGTGTTTCTTCTGCTTGGCATGGAATATGTTCAAATGGTAATAATGTGAAATTACTTTGCCGCGGGCCAGCATTTGTTCAGCCGCATACACATGAATCCCACACCGAGGACATCCTTCACCCTCCTTCGCCTTTCGCAGGATCTTGGGTGTGGTGGGCTTCGATGGAGTTTCATCGCTGCAAAGAGGAGGGACTCGGCTTTATTGCATATTTTATTATTAATCGAAAATTTAAATTTACTTTTTCTCCTTCTTTTCCCCCCTGAAACTCCGCCACCGCGCAAATAATGTAAATTGTATATGGAAAAGGAATATGGAGAGCGGGAGGATATTTTCTTTTTACCAAATCCTCTCCGCCTTGTCTCATGGTCTGGCGGAATTTTTGCGTGTTTTGCGAATACTAAATATACTTTGTGGGTGGTGGGACAGCAGCACGGAGAAATTCATCATGCGCGAACTGGAGTGCTTTGCGTACACTCTTTGATCTGCATCCTTGAGGCAACCGCCCAAGTTATGGGTTTGAGTGTAATGAGGAAAGAAGAAGGCAGTCCATCGGAGATGATAAAATGCTTTTCTGTCGCCCAAGTGGTCAAGATGACCCACAATGCTCGCAATTGATACAGAAATAGATTTGGGTATTTATGTAACAAATCGTATCCGCAAGTTTCGCTCGCACACACTTTTGACCCAACACCGCAACTTGAGATTATTGCAAGAGAGTTAATTCAATCGGTCGGTGAAGGAAGAGCATTGCATCGCCAGCACTAGGGTAGGTCAAAGCCAGATAGCAGCGAAGAAGATCATTGGGTTAGCCAGGGAGGAAATAGATCGTAAAATTGATAAGAAGTTGACACGAGAGATAGAAGAGAATAACAAAAGCTCTCAAATGAGGTCAAGATTGTGAGAGTCAGATGCTAAAAACAAAAGGTATAGTGAAACCTTGAATATCTTAGAGGTTATGTTATTAGGAGAACTACTTTTTTATCATTATGGTTTTTGTACAATTTAAGACTTTAACACACAATTTTGTCCTTTTTGAGGAATTTCGCGAATTTCACTAAAAAGTAAGAAGGTAAGATTTTTATCTTCATTCAATTACAATAGGCGTTTCCCTGTGAAATGCTGTTGCATCTAAAAATAAAATTTTAATATTTGGCCCACAAGAGGGTATCAAACTTACACAAGTGCATCCAAGTAAATTGAGTCGAGAGTTTCAGCTGCAAGGCCCGCAAATCCATAACCTGTGAAATGGAAAAGCGTTTACTCCGGAAAGTCACTCGAGAGAAAGAGAATTAAGAGCGCACTCGTGAGCTTTTCTTCCCATACCTTTCATGCCATATCGACGAGCGTGACACACTCTGCAGTACAACTCCTTGTCGTGCTCGCAGCAATTCAGCGAGTCCAGTGTTTTGTGGCAAACCTCTGGAAATGTCGAGGGATGGAAATAGTAATGGCATGCCATATTGGGCGAGAGATCTCATGACTCACGACAGAAGAAGCAATTCTTGTGCCATTTGTACTTCCCAGCGCCTCGAGCCTCGGCCATGAACACGGCCTTTGCACATTTTGGACACTTTGGATCATCTTCCGATGTGAATCTCATCTTTCGCTGCACACTCGCGAAAAAAGGATCACAATGAGACTACAATTAAAACGCCTCTTGGATGGATTTGTGCAACTTTTCTCACTTGCACAGCACACGATATGGGGAAATCATGTCATGCTAAAAGCTTATTTTATATATTCTGCCACTTAAAATCCCTAAGTGTGGAGCGCTTATGCGATGGGGGAGAAAAAGGGCCTTCTCTGGGGGATTCACACTAGCAACCACTTGCGGAGCGTCCCGTGGGATGGCTATTTGGATTTGATGTCTTCCGCAAATGGTGGGGAAATTTGCACTTGTTGTTCGCGGATTCGCACGGGAAAACTGCCACTGAGAAGTTGGAAAGTTAGCAAAGGGCTTACGATGCAGGCGCAACGAGGATTATATTTAGATTGAGAGCATGCGTCTTGTCGTACTGTAATTATTCTAATTGTTCGCGCTGTTTAACTGATACGCAGTGCAAGGTTGGAATGTTAGTTTCTCGCTGTTGTTTCATTTCCAATGCTTTTTATGATATAAACAGAAAAAAAATTGCACTTCCCGGTGTCCTCTATTCAAGCGATTTCAATCCAGTTAAAAGCATTTATTTATTATGTACTTTCATAGCTCAAAAGCGAGAAACTTCCAATTGTCCACTTTTAATTGATTCAGTGTTTAGTTGATATGCTTTTCAGGTTGAATATAATTGTGATTAAATCAACTATCAATAGTATGCGTTATGTGAAGTTGCGAGAAATTCACTGGCCAGTAACTGTAGACAAGTATTAAATTTAATTATACATTCAATCTGACGCACTTGACGCCAATCGTTCACGACAAATCGTCACATTTTTAGACCTCTTGGGCATTTTTCTATCTCTCACGCGACTGACTTTCTCAATTGGCGGCAGAAAATGAGGCTGAAAATTAATTTGTTCCCACCCTCCGCTTTCGCAACCCACGGGCGAAGAATCTATTTCGAGGCGAATTTTTCACTCTGCCTTCGGGAATTTATCATACACGAGCAAGCTCACTTCCGGCACGTTCGCGCCATTTGTCTCAGCTGCAAATACTGCGGTCCACCTGGAGTGGAAGCTAAGGAGGTGTATCAGGGAAATCTCTCTGCTAAATGTGACAATTAATTTTAATTTCGGAGCAATCTCTCCCAGCCACTTGTGTGCCGACTGTGATGCGACGCGCATTTATTTAATGGCTTTTGACCCGGAGGGTTGTGGCGATTTTTGGTGGTGTCAATTAATGAGATGCAAATTGATTTGAGCTGTTCCCCCTTTTGATCGGGGGTTGAATAATTTAAACTTGTCGCGTGCTGCTGTCAATATTGCGGAATTACCATCAATTATTGGGCGAATTTCATTGCAGATGACGGACCATCGCTGGGGGAATGAAGAACGCATGTCAAAAGATGTGACATGTAGTGACACTCTTTCGAGGAGGTGTGCCCTTTGATGATTTTTCCTGCACAATGGAGACCGAATTTTTTGCCATTCCAGAGAAATTTGTATTCCTGCCATGGTCCACGGTTATTCGCACTTCATCCTTAGTCCAGGGAGGAGGAAGACTCCCACCTTGATCTCGTCAGTCACTTGAAGCGGCGCTTAAAAGAGACTCCGTCGAATGCGAAGGCACATAAAGTGATATGTTGGCGGTGCTGTAAAATCCAAAATGACTCTTCACATATTTTTTTTGGGTTGAGACATAAAATTTGGCATCCAGCAGAAGCTTGTGACATCCACAAAAACAAGTGTGAATTCTGGAAAATTGACACACACATACACATGCACGTGAATTTTCAGAGGGAAAATAATCCCAAATATTCACACAGAGAATAAAATAATATTGTATATTGTGTGTTGGGTGGTATACATTCCCTGTTTCTCCTCTTTTATGCCTTTTCATACTTGTTTTATTTTATTGCCCACTTTTCGAGGGTTGGCAAAAGTAACGACACTTTCTGGGGAGTGAAGAAAAATCGTGAGAAAGATGTTTTCCTGAATTTCTTTTCAAGTACACTTTTACCTCTTTTACCCTGTTTGGAAATTATGAGCTGCGGGTTTTTTTCGCCAGAATTTCCCCACAAATGGTCGGTTTTCCATGGGTATTTTAAGCAAAAAAGAGGTTCCGCGAAGATTTGCTGTGTTTTTGGAAACAGTTTTGCCAATTTTGATACTTAAAAGGATTAGAAGATCGTCAATTTTTGGGTATTAATTTTATGAAGATTGTTTTTTTCAGTTTTATGTAATTGGTTGTATTTATAATTTTTCTACTTAGTTTTTGTATGTAGGCTTTATAAAACATTTTTGTTTTGCTGTGAATTGTGTCTTGATTGTGCGGTGTTCCTAGTTTGTATGCAATCAGGGTGCTTGACCGCTTCGCTATTCCTTGTTGTTCATGTTCCTTGCGAGCCTGCAATAAACTCCTTATTTTTCATTGATTCGAGACAAAATTCCTCCCTGTTTTCTTACGTTCTCTATCCAGAGGTATTGTCAGAGTGAGTTCACCTGCTTTATGCAAATTCAAGAGGACACTGAATGAAAACCCTTTCATTTCGTCATTAATTTTACAACAAGCGAGGAGAGTATACAGGGTCGACAAGGAAATACTAATAACTGTTGTGATAGAGCTTCTGTCGTGTTTATGGGGGTTGTACACTATTTCAATTTGGGGAGGTTTCACAATATTGCCCTCTCGATTGGGTCGCCAGGTGAATTTAGTCTTGAAATAGTTTCCATGCTGCCTTTTGTCGCATGAAATATTATTCTGTCTTTTGTGTAATATTTGGTCTGCCTTTACAATCTTAAATACCGGTGGTGTTTTTCGTATATTTTCCTGATTTATTTTGTAATTTTATTTAGAAACCTGCAATCATTTTAAAGAGTCGTTTTCCTTTATATTAAAGCTTTGTCTTTTTATATATATGTACTTAAATTTCAATCCTGTGACTTCTGGAACTATTGACATTGAACACCTGGGAAAATTCCCTGGGATTGGCGGCTTGGGGATGAGAGTGAATGTCACAGTGAAAGGTTTGCCGTACTTCAAGCGTCGCTCACGCAGAAAAGTCTTAAAGTTCTCAAGTTCTATCAAACAAAATCACTTTGGAAAATCAATCCAGCACAATTTATCGGTAATTTGCCTTGGGTGCACGTTGAGAAAATGCCCGGGGAGTCTTTTGGCGACACGCGACAAACATTAAAAGGACACCCAATGGACGAAAGAGAGAGGAAGTGTTGTACACCTGTTGGGGAAGTTTCCTGAAGCTGCGTGCGAGGAGCTTTCCGGAGGTGTGATCCAATAAAAAAGAAAAGTTGAAGAGTGAGAAAGTCTCGTTTGCACTTTATCACGTTTCTCGTCGCTTGGAAGGTGTCGGGCGCCCGTGGAGCTTTCAATGAAAATCATATTCAAAACCATATCGTCTTGGGCAATGTTTTCCCTCAAGCTATCTTCGCCTCTTCCCACCGTATAAATAAAAATCAATTCTTATTTCAGCCCAACTTTGCTCGTTTCACACGGAAATATTCTCGCACAGAACTTTCCGCTAGAACGCCCTCGCGCCATGAGTTTTTCCTTCTTCTGCTTTTTTCGGATAGAAGAGAAAAAAAAGACAAGGAAAAAAGTGAGCACAGTTCTCTGGAGAAACTCCAAAAACGAGTGTGAAGCTTTTAAATTAAATATGGTGAGGAAAATTATTATCTAGGGCATGAGGAGAGTTTTCTCAATAAAAAAGACATTTATTTAACGACTTTTCCATATGTACACGTCGGTATATTAATGCTTTTGGGAGCTTCTGCGGAGGGGGGGATGGAAAATTCATATAGAAGCCAAACGATGGCCATAAAAGGCACTTTTTGAAGGCAATATTCAGAGAATCTCACCCTGGGCTTTGCCCACACCAATGAGGAGGGAAGATGCCCCATCATGAGCTTAATGGGGCAGCTTTTCGCATAAAGTGCGAAAGCTCCGTGCAACCCACAACGACCACCCCATTTGGACAAGTTTTTATACCTGACATCAATCCAATTTTCTCCCCTCTGTGAGGCGCCTCTCAAATGCACTTTTTATGTTACACCTCACGCGTGCTGAGCAGAAATTATGCGCCGTGGGAAAGTGTAAAAAAGACTGACACACAGCTGAGCTCTTCCTGGGACATTTTTCACCTCCAGCTCGACACCAATAACCTAATTAGGTGGCCCTCTTCATTACCAAACGTCATATTCGCCATTCATTAAAACACACTATATGAAATTGGAGTGAAAATAAATTTGGTGTATAATTCAAATTAATTAAATAAACAAATTGCAAATTTATACATGACATAACACAATTTAATTGCTTGTGGTCCAAATAAATTTGTTCAGGCTTTTTTTCCTGTCTCGTTTCTGTGTCCCAAAAAATTTATGAATTGAGTTCATTGGCCAGCTTTTTTCAGGCCACGCATCGTGAAAAGCTCAGTGTTGATTTCATATTCAGACAAACAGAGTGTGAGTGAGAGAGCGAGATTTTAGGGGTGGAAAAAACTCATTATCAAGATTGGTGAATGTGGAGAGGGAGTTTGAAAAATGGCACATGATGAATTTAATGTTGGATATGAAATTAAATCAAAAGTGAATCACAATTTAATCAAATTGCACCAAATACAATTTAGATTTGGCAAAAGCTCAACTCGCACGGGACAAAAATTGATGGCGAGTATGCAAGACAAATTGACAAATAGCATGTTGGGCGTAATTTAAAAAGTTTTATCATTTGCCCCACAGCCAAGAGAGAGAGAGAGAGTGAGTTAAATTAAGTCGAAATTGTGCGGTATTGAAATTCCCGCTAAATAGTCTAGACGAGGAGCTTCTGCTTGGGGCACTCGCAATTCCACAAAGTCAGCGAAAAGCTGGGCGAAAAGTCTTGCTGCAATTTTGGCTTGTCGCGCGAGGAAAAACTATACATTCCTCTGGTGAGCAATAAAAAGCACACTCGTCCATTTATGAATGTAATACAGGAAACAAATTGATGTAACGTGACTTGGGGTTAAATTTCTATTGAGGGGTGCGAGAGGGAAAAGAGCTTTTACTCTGTGGAAAAACTCTGAACTCAGCCACAAAGTAAGTGTATATATGTTTGAGCTTTCTCTGTGGAAAATTAAGTGAAAGCGCGCCTCACAGTAGAGGAAAATTCATAAATACTTCAAGTACAATGAGGAAATTTAGAAGCCAGAAAAAGCAGTGAAAGGAAATTAAACTTTTTTTCACTGCACTCTTCTCGTCATACCGCCAAGTCCAAAACGTGGGGGGCATTTTCGCGCAACTTCCTCTATTTGTGAGAAATTTTGTGCACAAGG